CCGAGGGCTTTGCGGGGTGCGCGAGTTTGGAAAAACCCGGCGCTCACGCCTCTGCCTCTGCGGAGACCCTGCGAGTGGCCCGGAGCTGGGAGCCGGCCGGTGGGACGAGCGTGTTCACGAGCCCCAGACCCCCGGGGGGACCGGGCAGGTCCCGGCTGCACGGGTCAGGTTCCCCAAGGGGAGAACAGCTGCCCTTGGAGCCAGATGGGCTCCCTGGAAAATGTGAACTGCTGGTGCTTGCCAGCTACGCCAGAACCTGGTGCAGTAGCTTGAGAGCAAGCACACAGCCTTCTTCTTGGGGGTGCTGTCCAGACGTTGTCACTTAAGTGGGTGTCTCATTCACTTAGAATTTTTCCTTCTTAAGAACGTGAGAGCTAGACGGAAGAAGAGAAGGATATCTCACAGGTAGTCCAGAAGCAGCATGGAGACTCCATATGACCGCCTCTGGAGTCTGAGCCACATCAAAAGCAGCAGTTTGTTCAGCCCTGAAGCCTATTTAAGAACAACGTAATCCAGAGCAAGTAGCTGTAGATGAAAACAAGTCTGGATTTCCAGATTTGGAGTCGGATTCCTTGTATCTGATCCATAGAACTTATTCGCACTCCCCCACCTCCTGTTGTTAAACAGTTGCGCCTTAATGCATGTCGTCTTAATTTCATTACCTTCTGTTGACAGTACTTTCCTACGTGTCTTCGCCTTCTTCAGGGATATATCTCAAGTTAAGTAAATGCATCACTGCATGCAACATGAAGAAGACCTGGTGGTGGTGTGAATTAGAGCAGTGTGTCCAGATGGCACCTGCTATTACTGCTCCCTTGGCAGGGCAGACCTCAGGCTTGATCCTCCGTCCAGTCTTGCCTGTTTTATGAGAACACCAATGGGAATCCCCTGGAGATAAGAGAGAACAGGGGCTCGGCTTTTACAGGAGTTAGAATGCTTAAATATTTTTTGCAAAGTGCATGGGCGGGTAAACTAGAGAGCTATAGGGAGGAACTGGTGGCAGTAAAGATGATCTTAAGATGCCAGAAAAACCCAAGGTATGATTTTGACATTTTCAATGGGGGAAGTATTAGATCCACAGCAACATTTATGTAGCAACTTTTGGGTAATTATGTTTTATAACCCTGTACTTGCACCTGCAACGTAGAAGGCTTAAGTCTAGCTTTTGCATCAAAGTCAGAGAGAATTAGGCTTCTTTGAAAACCTTTGAAAATATCTTCAAATGTCCTTCATCATTTTGAACTGCCTTAATTCCATTAAAACTAGCCCTAATGTAGAGTGCAGTTATGGCACGTTATAAATAATACTATTGTTCAAATGATGCTCTACATAGTAGAAATCTTGAAGATCTTGAATTCCTTGAGTTCTTGAATGCTGGAATTCTTGAATGCCTTGTCTTTTTGGCAGCTTTCATGACTGTCAGCACTGGGCTTGCAAGGCAATTTCAATTCCTAATCTGCAGATTGCTCTGGGTCCTGTTGGGTTTATTTAAAAGTGTGCCTTGTGGGTGATGGTGGTATCGGAAACAGGGGATTATGACTTCTTAATGCAATTACACTGGAGCTGAAGCAGAGTCACGAAGGAGAATGAACTTTTGTTCAAACATCTGTCAGCCGTGACATAGACCAGGAGAGGTAAAATTAAGATTGAATTATTTTGCTGTCTGATGTTATGCTACCACTGCATTCTTGAAAGCCACTGGAAAATTAATCTGGACAACAGTGCATCATCACAGGATGATGAAGGCATCTCTCTTTGCTCTTATGTCACCCCATGATTGAATTTAGGAAATTTAGGAAATAGCATTTCATCTCAAGATTTTCTTTCATGAGGGGATCACATTTTACCTGTTCTTTTTTTTTTTTTTCTCAGAGTACTGTGGTGTTGAGTCTTCTGCTGTTTTCTTTTTGATAATCCCAAACCAACATTTTATCCATAAATGTGGTGTCCTCATAATTCAAAAATATTTCTGAGCATTAGTATACAGTGATCTCTAGGGTGTTGTTTCATTTATGTGAAGGATCTTCAGTAAACCAAAACCAATTGCTTATGCAATTCTGGGAGCAATTAATGATAGGTATATATTCTTCAGATTAAGTGTATCTCTGTACTTCCAGAACAGTCAGTGGCGGGATGTATTTCTGAGACTGATAGTGTAAATCCGAGTCCTTCACTTTACGCTCAGTTTGTGCTGGTTTTGCTGTAGATTTACTTTGCACTTCCAGGCAGTTTGTGCTGTGTTAACAATGAAACTTCATATGTCTATACTGAAAGAAGAGGTAACTGGTTTTGCCTTTGTTAGGCAAATTTTTAAATTTTTGATGTAGAAAGAAAGAGGACTTGAGTGCCTCACCAGAAACGTCGGACTTTCCTTTTGTGCTACTTGCTAGTTGTGAGCAATGGGAGGATTCAACATTCAGGTAAGCTAATATCAAAGACATTAAGGAATCCGCAGTGAAATAACCTTTTATAACAAAGCCTTCATTCAGATGGCTAGCTGGCAGCCTCATTATTGGCAGGCCAAATCTACATAAAGGATGGAGAAAGCAGAATAAATTAAGCCTGTCATGTTCCCCTCCTAAGAAAAAAGTGTTGCTTATAAAGCTGCAGCCCCTCTTCTAGGAAGCACCTGGCTCCAGCATCTCTGAGTGTTGCTCTGGTATATCAGTTTCATATTGCTTATTTATGTTCAACCAAAACAAAAGTTAGAAACAAGTTAAAAGATGCTTTCTCAGCTTGGTTTTTCTGCTAGCCTGTGGCTGATAGTCCTTTACTCCCATGAGCGGTGGTTGTAAGTGGCTCCTGAGTATGCCTCCTTGCATTTTTATGCTGACTACTTCTTAGAAGCATGTATTGCCCAGATCTGGAGGTGTTTCACTCACTAAGGATCATGTATTCCATTGCTTAAAACTTTGCTGTGGAAAAAGAGTCTTTAGCTCAATAGGCTGTCTCCTCTGATGCCAGTTGTTTCTCTCAGGCCAGTTTTTTTCTTTACTAGAGCAAAAGACGGACTGATTTGCCATTGATTTACCTTTCTGAAGATGGTCTGGTGGCTTACAAGCAAAGGCATGGTGCCTCCATCCTTTGGCCTGAGTGTGGTCCCTCAGTCATCTCTAGCAAAGACCTGGCATGAAATTTCTGTGACCTGCCCCAACGTGAAGTGGTCCTGCTGTTGCAACGCAGGCTGCTGGAGTATAAAGTTAGTCTGGGCAGAGAATATCCTTATTGCTTGGTGCCCGGGGCAAGTGGGGCTTCTCTCTGCCTCTGCAGGGCTTTGATTGAGTCATTGAAACCAGGCAGGTGACATGAAACTTCTTTCCAAGTTACAAGTGGAAGAATAGGCTGTGTTGCTTCAGACCCAGCTCAATCTCTTTTTGACTGATTGGTAAACAATCACGTGAAGACTGCACATAACTCATATATACCAACAAAAAGTTGCCTTGGCACTATGATGATGGTGTTTTTTAGCAATGAGTATTTTTTTTGCACCTAAACGGTGCTTTTTAAACATCGTTGGTTTTGAGAACTGCGTGTATATAAATTAGGCAAAGCTTCCTGTGCCAGCTGGATGAGCAAGAACTGCTTCATACTTTCTGTTATTAGATGCCGTTTTCAGTTATTTGTATGTTTTCCTAACTTAAGGCATTATGCCTTGAAGTTTTCTGCCTTACCTACTTCTGAGAAAAACAAGGAAAAAAAATTTTGCTGTTTAACCAGTGATAAAAAATGTCCCCACTGTTCCGATGAGGTCCGTGCCTTCGAGCAAGTTCTTGAAACTGGAGAGGATCATGTGTGAGGGAGAATCCCTACACCGATGGGGAAGCAGCTTTTCTTTCCTTGTGCAGCTCTGCCCACACTGAGTGAACTTACAGCCTTGTGTTTAGCAGATGCTTTTTTGATCAACGTCCTTTACAGGATATCCTTTGCAGAGGTCGAAGAGCAGAAAGCAGCCTGGCACTTCAGGGTGCCAGACACCTCATGCCCAGAGAAGGAATGAAGCCTGGGCAGGGAACTGCAGAAAGATGTGATCTTGTGGCTAAAGCAGTGTCCTGGTTTTGACTGAGACAGAGTCAGTTGTTCTTTTTAGCATTTAGAAGAGCTAACGCAGAGCTCTTCTAAATGCTAAAAACTGATTCTGTCTCAGTCAAAACCAGAACAAGCAGTCAAATGCTGACTTCTAGAACCAGATTTTATCCCTCTCTCTTACCTGCACTGCCTGAAGGTTGCTGAGCAAGTGACTTAAGCCACTTCTCACAGGCCATGTCACTTAACGTACCGTGGGTTTTGCTAGTCTAACCTGAAAAACTTGTGGTCTGACTGGCAAAAGTACTTAGTACTTGCAATTTTAATCAATAAGAACTGTGCTTTGAATATAGCAAAATGCTACAAATCCTAAACAGTCTGAAAATGAAGCTTTGAATGTCTTAGATTAGGCACTTGAAATCAGCAGTCATTTCTGAAAATTTTTAATCATTATGTTACTGAGCACTGCTTCACCAGCATGCCAGCTTATGTTAAATAGGTCTTTCGCTCCTGTAATCATCTATTATAGAAAGAGACTAAAAGCCTATTAAGTTATGCAGAGTGCTAAAAAGGTGTGCAGTAACTGCCATTTGAATATGTATGTAATTCATATTTAAATCCATTTTCCTTAGTTCAGATTAAAAAACACACTGATGCTAACAATCCTGTTGTATTGGGAAACATCCATGTACGTAGAGAGGTTTTCTATGCAACGTGCTTCTACTGTAGCAGTTATTTCCTGAAAACATCGCTCAACATGCGCAGTTAACTAAAATTTAAGTAGATACTACTTCGCTTAATAAAATATGCACTAGTGAACATGTCCCGTCTTTCAGGAAGTTGCACAGTGGCGAATCAATACCTTAACCAAGAAAAAATATGTTTTATATAAATAATCACTCAGCTTTCCCTGATAAATAACTGAGCTGCTCTTTTTTATTGAAGAAGAGTACGACGAGCCTCCACGGTGCAAGGCGGGACAGGATATTGTGCTGCAGTCACCTGTCGACTGGGTCATTTTGGATGGCCGAGAAAGTTCAGATGACCGTGGAATTGTGCAGTATGAGTGGACGTTGCTGCAAGGTGACTCATCGGTTGAAATGAAGGTACGCGTGCAATCTCACACACGGACAGTTACTTGCAGATAGTTGTGTTCATACAGTTTTAAACGTAGAGCTAATAATATTAAATGTATCCAAATGGACAGGACTACCAGGCACCAAAATTAGGATGACTATACAACTTGAGTGTTTATTTCATAGAAATAATGGAGCAGCCCAGGTTGGAAGGGACTTCAAAAGATCATCTGGTCCAACCTTTCGTGGGACAAGGAGCCTAGATGATTATCTCACCTGTCCAGTCACGTCTTGAAAACTTCCAGTGATGGGGACTATACCATGTCCCTGGGGAGTTTGTTCCAGTGATTATTTCTAGTGGTTTATACAGTTCATCTCTATCCAGGATGACATGAGACAGCCAGCAGCAAACAAGTGGATGCTATTACTCTACTGTGTTTCAGCTCTGCTCTCTTTTGCCATTGTGCTCACTGCACACGGTTTCAGGCTTCTGTGGTCCAGGTTAGAGACACCTTAGTAATTCAGTTACTAAAAATAATAAGATATTTTTACCAACAGTCTTTTGTCAATACTTGTGGAGAAACTGCAAAGAAATGTGGGATGTAGACCTTACATCATGAGATACTGTTTTATTGCATCTGTACAATTTCCGTGCATCCGTGCAATTTGGTTTTAACTTAAAATTAATCATCAAGAGAGGGATTCTCCATCCTACCCTTCTTTGTGAATGCTTTAGGAGCAGCAGAAAAGGAAAGGAAAAATATCTCAAACCCATAGAGTCTACTCAGTCTGTTCAGAGCCCACAATATTCAGGACTCAGCAAGGACTCCACCTAGAGCAAGAGGGACATGTTAAAGGGGAGAGGGTATGGACCATAGACCTTGCTGTTGCTGAGATGCTGCTGATGGATAGGAAGAGTTTAAACAGGACAGGATCAGCAATGGGCACAGTCCAAAACGCAAGAGGCTGTTGTCCCAGTGCCACCGTGAGCAGTACCTGACAGTTGCTGCTTATGTCCACTCAGCTCAGTAACATCAAAGGCGAGTTGGACAAACTGCCAGTATCAGCAAAGCTATTCGAGATTTGTAATGATGGAGCAAACCAGAGTTTTGCCTAACATAACGAGCTAGCTAAATGCATTGAATCCTAAAATTCTCATCCATGGAAAAACCCTGTGGAGCAATTGGTTATTCCTTAGCCTCCTGGAGGGAGGTAATTGACGACCACCATGTCATGGTTAGGAAACATGCCACTGGGTGAACCCTAAGAAGACAGTTGGGTTTCTCTGGTGAATACTTACTGAAAAATACACACAAGTAATTTTTTATAACCATCCTCCTTGCAGAAAACATAGGAGGGATATTCAAAAGTGTTAGTTAAGCCAGTGCTATGTACTTTTGCAAGTTTTGTCTTCTGCTCCAAGATGGACATCTGTGGAAGGGTGACTACAGTCAGCCAGTTCTGAATTACTTGAGGCTGTATTGCAATTTGAAACTATGTTAAAGACCACTGTGAGTTTATCTGCATTTGTTATTTTATTCGCTTGAAAATTAAAAAGTCAAAAGGCTTTCATAAGGATTGCAAACAGCATAATACAGAGAAAAGACCTGACTGAAGCTTTAAGAATAGTTGCTAGATATCATCTAGATAGAATAGATATTTTATTATCAAGAGTTGTTAATCTGACCCTTTGCAGCATTATTTTCCATACATAGCAATCAAATACTCTTTAAATATACCTGTGATGTAGAAATATATCTAGAGTAACACAAAAATTAGAAGTTAATTTGAAAATTTAAAGTTCATGTTTTTACTTATAGTCACTCCATAAAATAGAGACCAGTCTTATATTAATTTAAACTTGCAAAATTAGCATTAATCTTGGTGATTTCTTTATATTTGATAAATGAAGCAGTCTTGGCAGAGGTTTATGTTTAGATAGATTCTTTTCCATTGTGTTCAAATGGGCAAGATTTGCTCCCACAGATGTGTACCCTGATGATTATCCAGGATAATTTAATTTTTAGAGTTGAATTAATAATTGTGATTATTTGTACAATCTTCAGTTGCTATCTTTAGCGGTTTAGTTGCTATCCTGAAGTCACTGGATTTCTTGCGATCTGTTGTTAGAAAACTATATATGAATCCATAGCTACAAGGGAGAACAGGACTGTGTTTAAATAAGATAAAAGGCAGCTGTTGCATTGCACTTACGTACCAAAGAATAAATAAAAGGCACGGGAGGGGGAAGGACTGCTATGAAGAGATCTTATCATATTGTAGAAGGAAGCCAGTGGAAGTTTTTTTTCTATTGTGACTGATTATTGCTTCTTAGATTATTTGCTTCTCAGATTGCTACCCACGTGCTGTAGCTGCGCAGCTCTGTGACACTTGTGGGCAATTCTTGGGCTTTTTAAAATGCTGATTTGGATTCTCATTTGATGTCTGGAAATTTACTGTCTAGTTTGAGCCAAAGTTTGTAAGAAGGCAGGTACAGTCAGGCATTCTTCAGGGCAGGATGGAGGTAAAAAGGAAAGCACAGAGGTTGCCAGGAGGAGAGGCGGTGGATTCAGATGTCAGTGGTGTTTCTCTGGCTCTGCCCTGAGAAGAGAGCTGTACTCCATGGCTGGTGAGTTTTAAATACCGTATTTTCTCTCTCAGCAGTCACAGTGAACAGCAGCAGCTGTTTTTTAGAGTGTTCTTATTTCTATAATACAATAAAGAATAAAATTCTAAAGTGTCATATACTCCAACAGCAAGATCAGTTAACTTAGTGCATTTGTGGAAATAGAAAAGGAAAGAAATTTCAGTTAGGAAATTCCCTTACCAGATGAGAAAAATGAATTTATCAATACACCCTGCTATGAAGCTAGGTCTATGACTCTATTATCATATTTATTGCAAAATTCTGTTGTTCTTAGGCATGAAAACCAACTTTAAATAAGCAAAACCAAAGGTCTTTATTGAATTTTGGTTTTGATATTAAAGCTAATCACGGAGGCTTTTAATGCACCTTTCAGTTACTTACAAAGATAGTCCTGTGTGCTTCATTTGTAAAAATGTACCACATGTCCAAAAAACCTGCAGCACTTTTTTGTAGTTACTGAGGTATGTGTTACCGAACTCTCAGACAGCTGGAGTTATCAGTGACTGGTAATTGTCTAAAGGTGAAAAAAAGTTCAGCATTTGATACAAATACCATATCCATTTTATACAAACTTACTTCTAAATGACTATCCTACTAGTAATGGCAGGTAGGCAGCTGTTTTAAATTATTAAATGAGTTCTTTTACTATTTTTTAATGATCTAATCCAATTTAAATTGTTTTATATATATATATATTTATATATATATATTTATATATATATCACATGACTTTCTGAAAACTAATGTTGAGGTCACTCACTATAGACGAACTATTTCAGGTTCAGAGCAAGGCCGGGAAATTCAGTGTGAGGAAAAAAAAAATTCAGTCTGGCGATTTGTAAAAGTTGCAAGTGAGTACATCACATGTCAGGACAGATGTGGGCAGTCTTACTAATCAAGCAATGCTACCACTGGTAGTCACCTTATCATAAATCAAGATACAGCAAAAATAACTTCTGTGTATACATATGTATTGTGTACAGACCAACTCAAGAGAGAGAAAAATATTTTAATATTTTACTGTCTATGCTCTAAAATTACATTTCTAATTACTAAAAAATTGAGTTAAATGTATGGTTCCGTTTATTCTCCAGTGCTAAGATCCACAGCTCCAGGTAATAAAGTGAACCACAAAAACCAGTATGTAAATATTTAGCATGTTTATTTTTACAAATGGATGCAAAAAAAAAAACGATCAAAACGTTACATGTTGATGACGCATGTTTGAGTGGCTAGACTTAAGAGAAGTATTTAATCTGCGTGAAAAGCATAGTACAGAAACGAGCTCCCTATTCCTAGAAGTTTATGTACAGATCCTTTATACCAATTTTTTTTTTCACTGTGTTTCTTTAATCAGGTACCACAACCGGGAACACTGAAACTATCTCATGTCCAGGAAGGCAAGTATATTTTCCAGCTAACTGTGACAGACACTGCAGGTCAGCGGAGCTCCGACAACATCTCTGTGACTGTTCTTCCCATGGTTCATTCTGCAGTAGGTGAGTATCATGATTTAATCCCAGTTGGCGACTCAGCCCCACCCAGCCGCTTGCTCACTCCCCCCCAGTGGGATCGAGGAGGGAATCAGAAGGGTGAAAGTGAGAAAACTCCTGGGTTGAGATAAAGACAGTTGAACAGGTAAAGCAAAAGCCACGCACGCAAGCAAAGCAAAACAAGGAATTCCTTCACCACTTCCCATTGGTAGGCAGGTGTTCAGCCATCTCCAGGAAAGCAGGGCTCCATCACGCGTTGAGGGTTACTTGAGAAGACAAATGCCATCGCTCTGAATGTCCCCTGCTTCCTTCTTGTTCCCTAGGTTTATATGCTGAGCATGATGTCATATGATATGGAATATCCCTTTGGTCAGTTGGGGCCAGCTGTTCCAGCTGTGTCCTCTCTCAGCTTTTTGTGCACCCCCAGCCTACTGGCTGGTGGGGTGGGGTGAGAAGCAGAAAAGGCCTTGGCTCTGTGTGAGCACTGCTCAGCAATGAGGAAGACATCCCTGTGTTATTAACACTGTTTCCAGCACAAATCCAAAACACAGCTCCATACCAGCTACTGTGAGGAAAATTAACTCCACACCAGTCAAAAACAGCACGGAAAGACTAGAGCTGTTGCCTGTGTGACACCCTGGGTATGATACTGAGAACAAAGGTCTTGACAGAGGCAGAAATCTTATTCTCCATTTCTAGTGCATTATCTTGCCCTTCTTCATTACATAATGACATCTCTTTCTGCTTTGAATTGCTTTTGCAAATTGAGGAAGCAAGCAAGCATCGCTTGTTTGTTAGAGCAATAATATTTTCAAGCGTTTAAATGCTCATCCCTGTATTGCTAATAAGCATGCAGGGTTGGAAAAATCAAACACTGCCATATGTATCAGGCACATCCTAACTGTTGTATAGTCAGGCAGTGCGTGCAACATGACAGGGCTTGTGCTATAAGGAAGACCCGGTTAAAAGCAGTTAATAGTATGTGTGAAGCACAGAGTAGTGATAATATTGGCCTGCATCTGTAGTCTAAAAGATGGAATGGTTTCTTGTTTTCGTGCATTTAAGCTTTTCTGTGTAGTGGTTGTTACTGAAGCCTTATGTTACTGGGGAAACTGAAACTGGAATTGACCCATCATTTTTAAACTCTGAGATCAAGAAATATGTAAAAAGCCTAAAAGGTAGAAAGTAAGTTAGATTTCAGTGGCTGTCAATTCTGCAAATTTTAATGTAGTAACTTCCGAGTACATTGGAATTAGCAAGTTGCTAATATAGATTTGCTGCTTTGGCACAAAGTAAAGGTTAAATAGCGTCATCACTATGTTCAGCTGAACCAGTGCTTTGCACCAGTGCAATATCTCTTACGTGAGAGGGTAGTCCCAGTGGCAATAAATTGGTATTACAAAAAAACAGTTATGAGTCTGTTTAATAAGACCTCTATTCCAGTAATGGATGATAGAGTTGTATTCATTAATGTTTAATTCAGCTAACGCAGCCAGAGAGGTTTGCTGATCTATTTATTTGCTGCTGTGGGTATCTGCGGTGTCTTTTAGGTGGAGCACATAGAGGGTTTGCTGCCTTTTTTTCTTCTAATTCCCCAAGTCCGTTTGCAATTCAAGTGCTCCTGCTATAGTTAAACCAGTCGATGGTGCCTTAATGCATGCTATTATTAGTGCTGAAGTTTAGGAGATGCATTTTCTAAGTATGATCTTAGGGGTTTTAAACAGGCACCTGTGTTCCTGCCACACTTCCCTTAGCATTGCTCAGCTTTTTGGTGCGTAGCAGGATAACAACCAAAGGCTGTGACTTGCTTACGCAAATTGATTTGCTGTTACAACATTAACCAAACACTGAGTTTGATAGTGCTTTACAAAGCAATGAACTACACCGCTGTTGGAAGGACAGAGGCAGGGATGTAAACAATAATTACAAGGTCAGAATGGGTTTCAGGAAAGCTTTGAGTATGCAAAATGAAATGTCCAAGGACACTCTCCGTTTTTGGGGGAATCTAAATATTAAAGCAGGCAGCTACCAGTTCTTTCTGGTGAAGGTCACTTGTGAGACCTGGCATGTGTTCTGGCATGTGCTGTACCAGAGTCTATGGATTGCTGATGTAAATAAATGATGAGCATTCTTTTACTGTTTTAATTAGGTTGCAGAAAACATGCCATAAAAGATCCCACATCAGCTGCATGAGTGCATGTAAAATAACATATTGTCAGAAATACAGAATGGGTATGTAGAAGGAATTGTGTGTTGGAGAGATGCAGTTACAGCCCTAGAGATTTCATTTATTTATTTTCAAGACTGTCCTAGGTGTTTTGAGCCTGGGAAGATCTCCTTTCAGCTTAGGCCAGCAGAGTTTGAAATGCTGAAAGAGTGCCGCACAAGGTGTAAGGTGCAACAGCCTCCAGGTTGAGTATTCCTGTAGTAAAGAGAGTGCCAGAACAGTGATGAGGGTGCCAGGAACAGCTATTAGCTATATTAGCTTCTATGTCAATATAGCATCATATAGCTGAGCCTGGCCTTTCTTCAATTTTCTGCCTTGTTGGTGGTCCTTTTTGACATAGCGTGGTTTTGCTTTTTCCTTGGTACTGCACATTTTTTTGATTCAGTATTTACTGCTTGGATTTCTCTTTTGGTAATTTGGGAATTGTTTCTCAACAGCCTGTGTTGGGGTTTGCTCTCGCTACCAGTTTATCTGCGATGACGGCTGCTGCATTGACATCACTTTTGCTTGTGATGGCGTGAGACAGTGCCCTGATGGATCGGATGAAACTTTCTGCCAGAACTGTAAGTGCACCAGGCCACAGTGTAGATTGTGGAGTCAGAATGACCAAAGGGAAATGACACCCCTCTGTGGCCTCTCTGCCCATGAGCGAGCAGGTTGCTCCCACCGTAGAGCCTTTCATTGGAAATAGCACATGGGAAGGTTTAAAGTCTGCATAGAGCAGATGCTCAGAAATTAACTTCCTTTCCTTCAGAACATATCAAAACTGTTAAAGGTCCCCAAATTACAGATTTTGTGTTAGAGTTCTCAACGTTTAAAAGATCACTTCTTTACTTGCACAATGATTCTGGAAGCAAGGACCCTGAAGGGGTGTCTCAGAGGTTCACTTCAAAGTACAGTTACACACCTTGCAAGAATCTGAACCACTGGAAATGTGAGCATGTAGGGGAACCAGTTGATTCACCATTGCTCTGTTCGCTTTCATTAGTCATCCTCAGTATGTGCCCGTGCTCGGCTAAGTGAACAGAAGTCATCAGAAGGTGAATTGGCACGGTGGATAACCACTCTTTCATTCACATTTCAGTTGCTGGATTTCATTGTTGAGTTCATGAGTATTACTCTTGCTTAACAGTTGACAGCGGGCAATTGGTAACTTGCTATGTATCTGTAACTCACATTTCATTATCGGTCTGAAGCTCCGGAAGTTGTTTAGCCTGCCTCAAGGCTCATATTGGAGAGTCTTCCATCAGAACACTCCCATTCCCTTCAATTCTGTATAAGAAGTATGATTTTTGTTCCTGTTAACACAGTCAGCCCGGGTCGGAAGACAGTGACACACGCAGCTCTTGGAACCAGCCAGCAAAGGACTGTAGGACTGACTGAAAACACAGATGAAAACTTCTCTGCAGAAAACACCCTGAAAGCCACTGCCAGAAATCAACCGCTTCTCTCAGTGGATGCAGGCATGTCTAACCAATCGCTTTCTCAGGGACCAAAGAAACAAATCAGTGGATTTGTGCCAGGTAAGAATTGAAACAACTTGGTTTCAGTAAATCATTCTCTTTAAAGAAAGAAAATGTCTTGCACCTTACATTTTTTTAAATTGCCTTTCGGTGACTGGCTAAGAGTAAAAATTTGAAAATGTGAAACATACAAAAGAAGCTTGTATAATGAAGTTACAAGTAGGTGTTGCTTTATAATTGTCAAGTCCAGTTCATACCAAGTACAAAAGAAAGTTAAAATGCA